TCTTTCTTTCTTTCTTTCTTTCTTTCTTTCTTTCTTTCTTTCTTTCTCTCTATTTAAGGTAAAGCCCTGGCTGTCCCCAAAACTCACTTTGTAGACCAGACTGGCTTCAGACTCACAGAGATCCGTCTGCCTCTGCCTTCCCGAGTGCTGGGATTAAAGGTCACAACTACCTGGCTTGTTTTAAATGACAACAGAGCCAGATTTCTTAGGGCTTATACCAGCTTCTGGATTCATTTGTAAGAAATTAAAAAAAAATAGGGAAGGCAGAAAAGAAGACAATATAAATACATTTGAATGGCTGTTTATTTGTATGGCTTTTAGGAAGCAGAGCCCTTGTGAATGAAGGCATAGAGCGAGCATAAGGGGAAGGACTCACAGCAATAAGCATGTAGCACCCTTTATCATCTGACCAGGAAATGAGTGGACAGAACAGGAGCCACTGACGTGCTGAAAGTCAGCAGTGGGGAGGGGCTAAGAACGGTGCATGCCCACTCTTGTTCCAGGTAAGCGGGGGTCACAAAGGAGCACAATGGGGAGGGGCTTAGAATGGTGCGTGCCCACTCTTGTCCCACAGGTAGGGGGACCACAGACAAAGGAGCACATGCTGTCCCTCTCCATGGAGGCATTTGGGGGTTCACACCAAATAGCAAGCCAGTGAGGTCAGATGAAGGAGCCCAGGGCAGCAGAGATAGAGTTAAGCAGGGGCTACTGCTAGGTGGGCCAGCACAGTGTTTGCTATAGTGAGAGCTTCGTTCTTGACCTTGCTCTCAGTAGGGGATACTTGGACACTATTGACAAAGGAAATTGGAAGTTAAGGTTATAGGTGTGTTGATTTAAGAACAAAGTTTGTGCCCATTCTGTTTTTTTGTTTTGAAACAGGATGTCATTGTGTAGCTTTGGAGCCTGTTCTGGAACTCGTTCTGTAGACCAGGCTGGCCTTGCACTCACAGAGATCCACCTGCCTCTGTCCCGAGTGCTAGGATTAAAGGCGTGTGCCACAGTACCCAAGGACATTCAGGTTCTTGTTTTGTCTTGTTTGCTTTTTGATAGGGTCTCAACAGGAAGGCCAGGCTGGGTATGCACTTCCCATGCCCAGACTGTACCCAAGCCTTTAAACACACAGGGGATGTTCTACACCATCCCCAAGGTCTCATAAAGACCCCAAGCTATGGTTCTGAGAGCAATGTCCTTCCGTTCTCAGTTACTTGAGTCTAACAGTCCCAGTTCAGCTGGCTAGGGTCAGCAGGAGCAAACTGGAAATTGGAGGGATAGATTTAACAGACAAGATAAGCTACTTTTGACCAGTGCAGTGTTTTCTAAACTTGAAATAGTTGTCAATATTTGAAAGTTCAGATTTCTAACTTCTCAGAACAAAACAAAACACAGTGGAACAACAGGTCCTATCAGCCCAAATTCCTACATGGCAAAGATGTACAGGACCCTGTATGCCATTGTCCTCAAGACCTAGCCCGACGCCCTTTGCTTCTATCTGCTTCCTGAGAGGCTCCTTAAACATAGGGTTTGTGACCCCCTGACTCACACAGTATGTTTGCAATGACCTTGGCAACTTTCTGATCAGTGGCAGCCACAAGTCTAACCTTGAGTCTAGTTTAGTGGCTGATAGCCACGAAGACATATTCAGCCTTGGCCAGGAGTGTGAGATACTATTCTGCAGGGTTTTGAGTTGCTTTATGGAAGCACTTACTTTGCAAACATGATTCGGTCTCTAAAGCCTTTGGGTTTGTGAGGGTGAGGCCCATCAAGAAGATACTTCCCAGTCAAAGTCAAAGGTAAACTGTGGCTGGCAAGAACCAGAGGCCAGGAAGGAAGTCAGCTTGCCTAACAGTGGCCGTAGCATAGCTCCTAATCAGACCATATTAGCCTTGGCTCTGTTAGAGGAGGGAAGAAATGTGGGGAGACTGAGTCAGGTGGCGTCTGTTCTGCCACTTCCCCCACAAAGCTGCAGAGCCACAGGGAAAGGAGATGGAGAAGTCAGAGGCGACAGAAGTGAAACAGAAACAGAAGACCTTCGTTGCCCTCGAGTGAGGCACATGCAATGCCCGTGAGATGATGGGGGGCAGCCAGGACCAAGGAATGAGGCTGGTCATCAATCTGCGGGACCCCAAATCCTCAAATAACAGAGACAACCATCTGTACACACTCCAAGCTTGCAGGTGTGTGTGATGCACAGGGACACAGACACACATACGAGTATGCACACACAGTCCTCAGCAGAGAAGTGTGTCCCTCACATCCCTAAACACATACTCAGTCTATACTGCAGGACATGGTCACAGTGTTTCTCCAGACACACCATCACAGTGGTTTTCGGTGAGAGCTGCCAGCTTGTCCCACAGAGATGTTTCAGAAACATGGTCAGAGCACCTGAAGTCCTTTTTGACTCCTAGGGCGGCTCCCTGTGAGAGTCCAGGACAGTAACCTATAGCATGGAAGATGAAAATAAACCACAGGCACAACTGGATGCCGGTCTGCAGTGCCACCTACTGGCAAGAGAGGTTTCTGCACCTTGCGTTAAGGTCAGAACACAGGACACCTGTGCAGTGGGCCAAGGGTGGTCCTCCTCCTCCTCCTCCTCCTCCTCCTCCTCCTCCTCCTCCTCCTCCTTCTCCGATTCTGTTGGAGACAGGTGAGAATCTGGCATCCTTGGAGCTGTACCACAGCATCAGAGAAGGAATATTAAGGACCATGCCTGCCTGCTGGAAAGCAATGGTCCAGTCCACAAAGGCAGTTAGGTAGTAAACCAGGTTCCATCTTTCATGCCACCTCCCTCTGGGACAGGCTGTCTGAAATGCTGCATGAAGAACCTGAGGCCAAGCCTGGACCTTGTAAGGGGGACTACCCCGATGGGTGACATCAGCTGTTGTGGCAGGTGAGACCGCTTGGCATGTTTGCAGTGAATTCAGAAAACTTCCACTGTAAGGGTGGCTTGGTTGCTTGTGTCTCATACTTGAAGAAAACGTCTACCCTGTAGTGGAATCTGGCTTTTCATTCCATCAGCATCCTTCTGAGACAAAGCCTTCCAGGGACCCTCGAGAACTTGTTTTCAGAGACGGAGTGAGGATGGCTCACTAGATCGGAGCTGCTGAAGTCAACACTGGGCGCTCCCCTTTATTCAAAGCCCATGTTTTACAGCCATTCACTTACCAGCCCTCATTAGGGCTCAAGAGACCCCATGGGGCCAATGAGGAGCTAAGGAGACAGCTGCAGGGATGGGTGTTGGGGAACCAGCAAAGCCACCTGTAGCCAAGGTCATGTTCCTGGTCCCTCACCCATCAGCTTGAGAGGGTGAATTCAGTCTGACTCGTGTCAAATGTATGCATCAACCAACTTGCAATTTACAGTACTTGGAATTTTAAATCCTTGAGTATCATGAAAGGGTTAGATAGTTGTTAAGTCCCCATCTCTCCCTGCCTCCTTTAGCTAGGGAGTTGATTTCTGTCCTTAAATGCTTAGAAGGAAATAACCTTGTTTGTCCCAGTGGGCCAGGGTGTTTACCTTGATGCAAGGGTCAGCAGACATTCTCTGTAAGAGGGTCAGATAATAAGTATTCTTTTGGCTTTGGAGTTTCTGTTGGTACCATCGAGTTCTGCTGCTGTGGTGTATCCGTAAGCCAGTGGATGTGATATTTAAAACAACAGAAGCTTCTTTATGACAATAGGAAATGGATCCAATTTGGCCTCACCCCTTATTAGCTCAACTCAATGATCTGCAAACTGAGTTTCACATAGCTTGAAGTTGTTCAAAAGCGGTTTAGAAGGACTGCCCTTGAGCTAATTTACATCACTGTCAGCGAGGCAACTCAAACCAGAATGTACCTGTTCAAATGTGTCCCAGCTTTTCAACAAGTCAGCTTCGGGCGAGTTCTTCCAGTGAAGACCTCAGAATGGAGCTTCTCTGGTCACTGTATGGGAAATGATGGATATCCAAGTCTCAGCATCAGATAGTCCGAGCACTGCTACCTACGAGCTGGGCAACTTTGAGCAAGTTACAATAGCTCCCCAAATCACTGCGTCCTGGACACCTCAAGAGGGTAGAAATTGCCACAGCGCTGGTATCTCCTCAAGCAGACTGGATCACAGGAAGATACAGGATTCCCCGTGGAGGGGCCAGGGTTTCTGAGGTTACCAAGGGATACCCAGGGACACATTTGGGGCAGGGCTATTTACCACATGCTGTGGAGGGGCTTTGGTATTCTGATCATCACTTTACTGCACTCCAATCGAACAGAGGTGTAGTCTGTCATGGACTTGAACTTCTTGCTAGCTTCTTAGCTCTTTCTGCTGCATTCCCACTAATGTAGTCGACTGTCATGTAGGGGAGGGTTTGCGTTTTTCTTCTTGCGATGGGGTCTCATGCTGCCCACACTGGACTTGGACTGGCTACGCAGCTGAGAACCACCTTGACCTTCTGACCCCTCCTGCTTCCACCTCTCCAGTGTTGGAGTTGTAGGTGTGCACCGTCATATCTAGCTTGTGCAGTGCTGTGGGTTGAACCCAGGCTTTTGTATTCAGTAGGTAAGCACTCTGCTAGCTGAGCCAGATGCCCAGCTTCCTCTCCCTCCCCCGAAGGGCATTCTGTAGTAATCTTAGCAGTCTCCAGGCTTAATAACAAACAGAGCTACTGTTCTGCTGAGTGGCAGTTCCACAGGGCCTGGGACTCGGTTGGCAAGCACCTCCTAGGAGGAGTGTTCTGCCAGACCTAGGGATGTGGTGCTTCCAGCTAAAGGCGTCCAGAGTTCTGGGAGCGGTTGGCTCTTCTGCCCCAGTGCTGCGGTCTGAGGTTGGGCCTGGAGCTTTGATGCTCAGCTGGTTTTTAAATCTACTGGTAACACAATAAACAATGCTTCGTGCTGCCAGGCTCCTCTTCAGCCCTCGAGTCCATCAGGAGGACTGTGCGGCTGCAGCTGGAGCCTGCCCCCAGGACTTCTGGCCTTTTAGTCCAGCTCCAGAAGCTTTTGCCCAGGCTTGAGATGCTCGATTTAGTTTCGGTAATAGAATTCAAACCTTTCTGCGCTGCCCAGGGCTGTCTGTATCTACTCATGGTGTCTCCCATGAAATCCGTAGCTTTGACTGCACCTTATCTTCTTGCTTCTGGCATGGTACCATTCCTGTTTCCTGAGAAACCTGCAAACGTTTGCCATATTCATGACCAGGCCCTGGCCACTAAGCCTCCTGCATCCCAGCACATCCGGTGCTGTCTTCAGCCCAGTCTTTTTGACTGGGCACCATAAGGACACTCTGTGAGCCTTCATTCTGCACATCTCTACAAGCTTCTTGTGACCACTGACTGAGCCTTGAGGAAGGGACCCTTCAAGGGGGTGACGATGCCCTCACGGCAGACGGCTACCGTGTGATCTAAGGAAGACGGAAAGTGCCCCGTGGCTGAGCTTCCCCTCTCACCCCCCACTTCATTCCCTTGCAGCTGCTCCTACGTTGTGCAGCATCTCTGGTCTATCATGGAGAACCAGTAGTGGAGGAAGCCTCTTACAGACTTTGTTCTACCCCAGGCCTCCTCTGCTTGGCTGGAAGGGTCCTGCTATAATGATGAAAATGACCCTGTGCAGAAACACCTTTGCTTTGTGCCCTCCTGGGTGCAATAATGCCAGTGGCTCCATAAAGCAGCTCTGTCTATCTCACGTGCATCACCGCTTTCCAGGAACAATGTTTGCATGTAACACAGATGGGAACCGCATCTGCATGCTGCAACACAGACAGGAACTGCATCCGCATGCTGTAGAAACAGACGGGAACCGCATCCGCATGCTGCAGACACAGACCGGAACCGCGTCGACATGCTGCAGACACACACAGGAACAGTGTCCACATGCTGCAGACACAGGTGCACGTTCAACCCCGTGTTTCTCGCTTGGCCCAAGCTGGTTCTCATTTCCAGGAGCTCCTGAGCCTTCTTCATCCTCCTTCCTGCAGCTGCTACCCTGAGACACACTGCTCAGAACATGTTCTCGTTCAGATCCTGAGTCAAATGCTTAGAAAGGCAGAGGTCAGAGTCTCCGGTTGCCCTTCTCCCCATTTCCAGGCCCTGTCCTGGCCCTCTGATGATGCTTTGGGTTTCCCCATTGCTGAAATCCCTGTGGGAGCCAGGCAATCGGTGCACAAATACATGTACCTGCTTGTCTTCTTAGGGAACCAAGCATCTAGTCTTTCACCCTTCCTCTGAGTGCCAGGGCTGCTTAACAAAGGAGGAGGTGACCATCACTCATCATGTGGAGAAGAAAGGGCTGCCTGGTTTCACGCAAAGGTGGAGTCATCACTGGTACCTCTCAGGGGGCCGGTTCATCCCAGAGTCCTTTGTACCACACCCCAGTGACAGCTCATCACCTCCAGGGTAGCTCTGACTGGCTTTTCCTTCTCCACAGCAGCATCATGCTGGTGCACGTTCAGCGCATCCCTCTCTAAGCCGGCACGTCCTTAGTGTCTTTGGGTTCAGATAAGATCAGACCTGACACTTCCCAGTCTCCCTGCAGCAGCTTGCCTTCAGACTCAATCTGGACAATCACTCATTTAGAGCCTGTGGTTTCTCCATATTTGGGGCTGGAGTGCTCTTTGGTTGCTGGGAGACCTTTCTTACAGCATGGTAGGTGGCAGTGGCTGGTAGACCCAGGACTGAGGTGAGGAGGTTGGCAGGCAGAACTGCCGAACTTTACCTAAAAACTGAAAGCACAGGAACCCCCCCCCCACCCACCAGTTGTTAAGCCACTAAAGCGCAATCCAGGAGGAGCCTGCAGTGCCCCCTGCTGGCTAGGGGAGAATTTGCACGTAGGGTACATTCCTCCCATCATTTTTTCCCCACAAACCTTCCAGCTGGCAACAGACAGTCAGTTTCGCTCAGGTTAGCAAGTCACAGGAAACAACAGGTCACCCCGTGCAGTGGTTCCCAAGCATGGCAAGATATAGGCAGGGCTGCTGTGCAGCACCGTGCGAATTTCCCATCTGATGGGCTGAAGGGCTGAGGAGCCAAGGTCTGGAATCTAGCCAATGGCCAGGCTTGGGCCAGAGGAAGGGCCATCATTTTTGTCATTCATTCACCTAGACAGAGCGTTATCTTGTAATCTACACAGGTGCCATAGGGACCAGCAGCCCCGGCACAGGATTCATTTAGGGCATCATCTTGTAAAACCAAGCTTTGACTAAAGGACAGCTTGGAAACCACTTAAAGCGGGGAGAGTAAACTGAGGCTTACAAAAAAGAGGGACTTAAGTCATGCAGTCCATGCCTTAATCCAGCCTCTCCTGCACAGTGCTCTTCACACTACATGTGACAGTTTTCATCCCAAGCCCTTTGGCATCCTGGCTTCTCTGACTGTGCCGCTCTCCGTCCTACCAATTTCTCCAAACTACCCTGCCGAGTCCTGCTTTCCTCGCTAGGATCGTGGCAGTGTTTGCCCAGCAGGGACTGTGAGAATGCTGGCCCAGACTTCCTAAATTCCTTGGAGTATCTGAGCAGAGGGAAGAGGGCAGCAGGCAGGACGGTGGACAGCGAGAAGCCAGGAAAGGTCACCAGATGAGGTTCGGAAGTACGTCAGGGAGCCCACAACGAGCTGACCCTACTACTGTGACCCTAGAGTCTGCTTAGCTGCAGCTGCCCGCCGGGGTGTCTGGGCTACACCGTAAGGCACATGGGCAGCCACTGTGCCCATCTCCTGTGCCCCAGCCACATGAAACATCTGGTCATCAAAGAAGATGTGTGGGCGGATCTTCTCCAGAAGGGGGCCCTTGGGTGCTCCAGCTAGGAATAAGGCCTCATCGGTCTCCAGGCCCCAGCTTCGCAGGGTCTTGAGGGCCCGAGCCCCAGAACTGGCTGCACTGCGTGCTGTCACCAAGTAAGTACGAATCGGGCACTCCAGCCGCAGGCCTTTGGAGTAGAATTTCTTCTGCAGTCTACCGAGTGCTTCCAGAAAGCCTTTTAGGGGGCCCTACGGAGTTAAGGAGACACTGTAAGATCCCTCCTAAACATCTGCCCTTTTATCCTAAAGCACCAGGCTATTGGGGTGGGAAATCCTTAAATATTTTTGTTGTTTTGCTTTGCCTCTTCTGGCTACTGTGTACCTGTGGTGTTGTAGGTACCTGTAGTCTGGGGTCTATCTTACTGTGATGGGGCGGTGTCAGGGCAACTGTTGCTAGGCATATTCATCCATGTCTCTTGTAGCAATCTATCCTGCAGCTCTGTAAGTGTGGTTGTCTGTGTTCATTAGCAAAGAAGGAATTAAAACGAGCTAGTAATGACAACATGAGCACCTGTCAACCAGAGTGGACTCTATCTGTGAATATCTGGGCCAGATGGCTCAGTGTGTAGCTACCAACTGTGAGCCTGTCTGTGGACAGACACACGTGTGGCTCAGGGTGTTGGGCTCAGGCTCTCTGGGGTAGGGTATGTGCCCACAGCAATAAAGCTACCGCAGGTATATGAATAAAGAACCAGATGGTATAGAATGCTGCCCATTTTCAAAGCAACTGGAGCCAAGGAAAGTGGGCTACTAGTCCTGGGGATTTCCCTATCTGGGTAACCTGGGGTAAGCAATGTTCTGTGTCTCTGTCAACGACTTAGTAGGGAAAGTGTCCTGCCCTGGGCTCCAAGATTTCTATAAAAGCTTAAGTTGGAGCTCCCAGCAAGGCTGGAGAATCCCATTGCTCCACCCCTAAGGAATTTCTAACAAGCTCCAAGACACATTCTGTTCTCAGAGAGCCATTGAGAAGAATGAGGGCAGGTGAGGCTCTCTGAGTCACTTAATCAAGGCACAGTAAAAGGTGGTCCCAGGTCACCACATCCTCAGCTACCCACACTAGGGTAATAGAGTTCTTCCTGTCTCCTGGTTACAGGAGCAGGGGCTTCTGGAGGGGTAGCTGCTTACTCAGAAGGGGATTTAAAAAAGAGGAGCTGAGGTTTACAGGGTAAGGTCAGTGGATGTGGTGGGGGGATGGCTCAGATTTTAGGGAGGGCTGGGGACTTCAGAGAAGGATTGAAGACTCAGAATGGGGGTGGGTGCTTCTGAGAGGAGACGGAGACCTTAGAAAGGGGTTTGGAGGAACAAAGCAGGGAGGCAAAGGAGTCTTCAGAGAGATGCTAGAGGCCCAAAGGGGGGGGGGATGGGACTTTAGTGAGGAGGTGGGACTCAGTGAAGGGGTGGAGTCTCACTGAAGGGAGCCAGGGGCTAAGTAAGAGGGTTAGAACTTGGCGGGGGGGGGGGGGCAGAGGCAGGCAGATCTACACAGAGAAACCTTGCCTTGAGAAACGAGAGAAAGAGAGAGACAGAGGCAGAGACAGAGAGAGAAAGAGAGAAACAACATGCAGAGAGAGGGACAGAAAAGGAGAGAGAAAGAGAGACAGAGAGAGAGAGAGACAGACAGAGAGAAGGCTTGAGTCGTGGTAAGAGAACCTGGTGGGGATGTGGGCTTAGCGTGGGTTTGGCCCTGAGCTGGGAGTTCGGGCCAGGCCGGTTCTGGGGAATAAGGGGGTATTTGGGGGTCCTGGGAGTGTGGAGCACCTGTGCCAAAGGTTTGTTCTCGTGGGCCTTCTCATGCTCGAAGAATCTGTCCAGTCCATGGGCCTTGACAATGCGCTCTGACTCGTCAGAGAAGAGCACAGCGTCCCCATCGAAGGCCACGCGGAGCTGACTCTGGGACACAACCACGTCCCTGCTGGGGCTGAAGATGGTGGCAGCAGCAATCCCTGCACAGGAGAGGTAAGTGTTGTCTGCCTGGGCACGAGAGAGGGTGTCTCCCGCTGTCCTTGTTCCACCAGCTTCCCCAGAACGAGAGGCAAGCGTAACAGGGACTCCTATTGAAAGCGTTTAATTTGGGTGTCTGCGGATCCTGGCTATGCGTATGCAGCAGCTGCAGCGTAGAGGTGTCACTTTGAGGGTCCCCACCAAGGTCTAGAGGACACCTCATTAATACTCTCTGCATGGAGAGCTCCAGAGGAGACCTGGGACAGGAGGACACTGAAGAGCTATTTATCAGCCAGCGTGAAGAAATTCGAATACTTTAACACTGAAGAAGATCATGCTGGTGTGGACTAGTGAAACACCAGTCTTGGCTGGGAGCACAGGACTCCTACATCCCTGTTCTGTTTGGAGCTCTGCACCCTGTATGAACCTCCAGCAGACAGGGAAGCATGCCTTAGGGGTGCAGTGCTTCCTTCATTAGCAATGCCAAGTTACATACTTTCTCTGGACCAAGATAAAATTAATGTTCTTTCAGGTCCGTTTGAGGCTGAGCTCTCAGGCTGCAGGAGAGATGGGTGGGTGTGGACACCCTGTCTACAGCCACCAAGCACCCAGGTATACTGACGTCACGTTGGTTCAGACTGTAAAACAATGTGCTTGGTCCTGGGAGGCAGCATAAATTACCTGTGATAATATATAGAGACTTCCTGCAACCAGGGTTCCTCTGGGTGCAAGGATGCCTGTCAGAGACCAAGGCTCCAGGTTAGAATCAGCTGAATCCCCTTCCCATGGTCGTCATCTCTCTGAAGGCCCCTTCTACCCTACTCCTTGGGAATCTAGGGTCATGGAGGTAGGCTTCCGCAGAGCTCTGGCAAGAGCTAGCAGTACAGGTCTCACAGCGGCTTCACTAGCCTAAGGATAGAGTAGGACAAGGTCCTGAGTATCAGGCTACCTACCTTCTCAGCTCTGTCAATCAAATGCCAAGATGGCCCAGACTCTCCCTACTCTGAGCAGGACATCCATTTAACCATACCCCCTAGACTAAAAGCCAAATTCCACATGCACAGAAGCACACACACAGGTTAATTAGTTCCCAGACCCCAAACAAAGGGTGTGATGTATCTAGGGAAATGCCCTATGGGTCCTGGCTAAAGAATCCTCACCAGTACGGAAGGGGAAAGAGGGAAGTTGACAAAGAATCCCTGAGCGTCCAGCCTGAGTACACATCCAGGCAGATGGGCATTCATTCTCTCCTCCTCTGTGGGCTCCTGTTGGGAGGACTGAGTCCATGCCTGTCACCCCTTAAAAGGGGCACATGGAATGAACTTCTCATTATCAATACTTGTAGCTGAGTCCCCTAATCTCACCTCAGCACGGGACAGTTCAGCTATGGGAGATGAAAGCCTATCATTCAGGCCGGGTTAAATATGAATCTTCCCTCTTTTTCACTGGCCCAGTGATGGATGGAAGCTTCCTGATCACACAGGAATCAGAACTCCCATCAGTCCTGAGGAATCTTAGAAGGCAATAGCTTTCTGGGCTGTAAGGAAAGTTTCTATGGAAACAGAAGGCTAGGTGATGCTGATGGATGTACACAGGAGAGCGGAAGATGGGAAGGAGGATTAGGTAGGGCTTTGCTTTCACTTTACAAGACAGATCATGGGATGTATGCACAGTTCCCCTTGCAGTTACCTTGGCAACTCCAGTGCTGTTCAGAGCTTCAGGACCAGGCTCCTCACCACTGGGATCCCTTTACGTATGGGCAAGTGTCCCCATATTCTCCCTCTCCTTTCTGACTTACCCTCATCAATGGCTTCTCGCACTTTTTCTGCATCAGCTGACAGGTAGAGGTTGGTGTGATAGGCCTTGAGGTAGCAGATGGGGCTGTTCCCACCTGTCATGCAGAATCGCTCAATGAACAGGTCTGTGGAGGTAGAGCGAGCCCAGATGAGGCCCCAGAATGGTCTCTCTGTGCCTAGTGTGAGCTGGCTGGGATCTGAGTGGGGGAGGGGGCAGCAGAGTGCCTCTCTGTTTCCGCCTGGCATTTCCCCTGCATCTTTCCTTGAGGAAACGGAATGATCACATCTGGAGAAAGCTCCTGGTTCACAGCATCCCCACTACTCAGACCCGAGCTTCCTGCTCACAGCTAATTGGACTGATTGGCAGAGTCTGGACCCAGCAGAGCAGATCAGAGTCCAACATGGGTAGCTTGCTCCCACGGTGGCAAAAGCTGTAACATAGTTGCTGACTAACGAGAGGCCACTAGCCTCAGCCACTACCCGAGGACAGGACTGCTGTCTTCCTCACAGCCCACAACAGTCAAGGTTAATACCACCCCACAGAGGTTCCCTCAGGGCCTACGCAAGCACGGAGTGCTGCCGATTTTGACTGCTCAGCACCTGTGGCTAAATAGTGCTAACCTCGCCCTCACATCAGAAATTTGAAATCAGTATCATAAAAGGCCAGCTGGAGACTAAGGTTGTGGTTCAATGACTGAACACACACAGCCTACAGAGGCCCTGGTTTCATTCTCCAGCACCCATAATAAGTAAATACAGTTTGAAGTAGTGAATGGGGCTGGAGAGATGCTGACTCGGTGGTTAAGAGCACTGGCTGTTTTTCCAGAGGACCCGACCCGAGTTCAGTTCCCAGCATCCATGTGGCACTTCACAACTGTCTGTAACTCCAGCTCCAAGGATCCTGATGCCTCTTCTGATCTTCAAAGGCCCCTCACACAGGTGGTATGGCATTCACTAACAGACACATACATAAAGGTTTTTTGTTTGTTTGTTTTGTTTTGTTTATCAAAGGTAGTAAATCACATGTTTTTAATCCCAGTACTCAGGAGGCAAAGACAGGCAGAACTCTGCAAGTTCTAGGACAGCTAGAGTTGGAGATGCCCTATCTTGAAAGAAAGAAAGAAAGAAAGAAAGAAAGAAAGAAAGGAAGGAAGGAAGGAAGGAAGGAAGGAAGGAAGGAAGGAAGGAAGGAAGGAGGGAAGGAAATGGTGGCGCATGTCTACAATGTCTGAAATTCCAGTACTAGGAAGGTACTCTCAAGTCTAAGGCCAGCCTGGAATACATAGTAAGATCCTGTATCAAAATTAAGTAAGTTCAAATAAAATGAACACCTAACTGGGTTGTTGGCTGCTTGAAACAAGAGCTTGTAAAGCTATAAATATGAATGAGTTAGTGTTGGTTTTTTTTTCTTTATGGTTTATTTATTTTTTATTTTATGTGCATTGGTGTTTTGCTTGCATGTATGTCTGTGTGAGAGTGTTGGATCTCCCAGAACTGGAGTTACAGACAGCTGTGAGCTGCCATGTAAAATGAACCTGGATCTTCTGGAAGAGCAGTCAGTGCTCTTAACACTGAGCCATCTCTCCAGCCCCCGGTTTCTCCATTTTAAAAAACGTCATGTGTTTGGGTGTTTTGCCTGCATGTGTGTCTATGGACCCTGTGCATGCCTGGTTGCCTGTGGAGGCCAGAAGAGGGGCTGGAAGTATTCAGATTTCCTGGAACTGTAGCTACAGATTAAAACAAAGAAATACGCTTGCTAAATAAGCGCAAGGGTCCATTTGGCCCGGAGAGAATACAAGCCCAAGAGAGATCGCCAAGACTTGGATTCTGGCCTCTCTGGGTCCATTTTTTCCTTCCTGCTCTATGGTTCTGAGTCATTCTGGAACCAACAATGGTTCCCTTCGCTGGAAGTTTGCTCCGAGAGACTGAGAACTTTCAATCAAAACTGTAGCAAAAGGAGACGCACCCTTTCATCCTGAACAGCCCCTGATCTCCCATCAGTCTCATGAGGCTTGCTAGTCTCCTACAGCTAGAGAAACCGAGGCACAGAGGCAGTAAACATCTTTCCTTTTACACAGGGAGCAGGGTCTGTTCGTGTGGGTTGTAACTGGCTTGTGCCAGCTTGCAAGAGCCAGCTATTAAATATCCAGGAATTTTATGAGCCAGTTATGCTGATCAACCATGGGTAGCCAGAAATCGGCCACAGACGACATCCTGTAAGCAGTCAGCATTTTCAAATCAGTTTTGTTTATTTTTACAGGTTTTCGCCAGTGTTTGTTTTTCTAGACAAGGTTTTTCTCCCTGTAGCCGTTAGCTGTCCTGAACCTACCTCGACAGATCAGGCTGACTTTCAACTCAGCGATCAACCTACCTCTGCCTCCCAGGAGCTGGGATTAATGGTGTGTGCCCCCATACACAGCATTACAGTCTTATTTTTAATGTGTTTTTTTTTTTTGAGGCAGGGTCACGTGTAGCCTAGGCTGGCCTCACTGTGTATCTGAAGATGCGCTACTCATTCTTCTGCCTCCGTTTCACCGACTGCACAGCTGCTGGGGTTACAGCTTCATATACCACCATGTCTTGGTTGTTTGCTTTTTAATGTGGTACTGGGGGAGCAAACACAATTAAGCCACATCCCCAGCTCCTTGTTTGTTGTTTGTTTTAAAACAGAGTCTCACGTATCTCAGACTGGCCTTGAACTCACCACGTAGCCAAGGGAGACTTCGAATTCCTGCCCCCATCTCCTGAGTGATGGCATTAGATGCATGCATTCCTATACCTAGCTTTTAAGCAATGTTGGAGATTGAGATCTGGACTTTCTGCCTGCTAAGCAAATACCCTACCAGCTGGATCACAGCCTCAGTCTTACATGTTTTAAAAGACCAGGTTAAAAATACAATACGATGCCATGTTAGTAGAACTTCACTGAGTTTAGGAAGGCAGTCTGTAAAGCCTGACCCTACAGAGGTGTGGCCTTCCCCCAGGGGGCGTGTGTGGTAGGGGCATCCCATGGTCACCCCACCCCACCCTCCATGCTTACCATAGTGGTTGATACTGTTGATGAGACGGACTCCCACTTGAGCATGGTTGTTGGTCATGAGGACAATGTCAAAAACATCTTCACTATCGGGATACAGCTCCCGAAGCCGCTTGTTCACAGCCTCCAGGGCCTGGGAGGGAGAGAGCAAAGACCAGGTCAGAGTCCCAGGGAATGATGAGTGGAGTTGGTGGCTAGGGATCCACTGAGAAAGGAGAGGGGAGGCCAGGGACAGGCGTGATTTCGAATGAGATCTTTGCACACCACCGCCCTTTCAATGACACTTTCCACCATTGTGGGGGTCGTTCACTACTCAGAGGCACTTCACCAAAGGCGGATGAAGGGGGATTGATCCTTAGGCCCCATTCTGGGGCTCCATCAGTCCCGAGGATGGTGGCCTCCTCTTCCCACCAAGTCTCAGTCCTCTAGCTGTGGGGTTTGCCTCTACCAGGCAGAGCTGCTTCAGGAACCAGCCCCTCACCTTCACAAAGGGGAAGGCTGGCCCGGGACTGAAGGGCTCATTCTCGTGCTCCAGCTGGTACCGCACATACTCCTCCACCCCCTGCTCCGTGTAGATCCTCTGCTCCTCATCCATGCGAAACAAGGCTCTGGAGGACACAGCGATGGTGACCGCATTCTGAGGCTTTGGCTACAAGAGGGTCAGTAGGACAGCCGGTTACTCAGACTCACTCGGAGGCAGGTGTATTCCGCGAGCCCTTCCTGCACCCGGGGACGTGGAGAAGGCCAAGGCTCTGCTCCAGAGCAAGTCAGTCTTGGGCAGAGGTCACTCTGGGTTGGACCCTGCTGGAGACTGGTTCCTTATTACGGGTATGACAAGGAGGAGGGCAGGCCCTTAGGGAGCGTGTAATACTGCTGGCCATCTGGACACCGCGGAAAATGAGTTCAATGCATATAGACAAAGTAAGGCTGCACTGAGATGACTTCCAAATGGTTTCCGTCATGAAAGAAGGGCTGCATGCCGCCAGGAAGAAATTAGTGCCCAGGAACACAGTAATTATATAAGAATTTTTAAAATCTCAGCTTGAATCTGTTTCCTGAGCTGCAGACTCACGTATCTAACTGCCCCAGTCAACCAACAAACCATCAGACACCCCAACTTACAGCTCCTGAGGCTGAGTTCCCCACCCTTACCCCCAAACTCAAACCCAACCTCCCCCTTTTACTGCATCTTGTGCTCAATGCCCCATCTACTCATCCAGATTACCACTTCACGAACAGACAGCTGAAGCCAGGAAGTAAACCTCACCCCCACCTTTCCCCACTCCTTTCTGTGTTGATTAAGCGTCCAAGTCACCCATACCCGGAATCCACCCACTTCTTCTCTTCCATAGCCCAGGCCACCATCACCTCTACCCTTGCTACATTTTCAGAGGGTCTGTCTAAAGTGCAGACACGATCACAACTCACCTAGTCACACCTAGTCAGCGGTACGGAGTCAAGCAGACAGCCTTTCCCACAGAGCAAGAAGTCTTTTGCAAGAGACCTCTACTTCCTTTCCATCCTTAGCTTCCCCTTGCCCAGCTTTGCTCAGCCTCACGTCTCTTGTGTCTTTGTGCACCTTCCCCTTGTCCTCTGACCCTCGAACCTGGGGTTCCCTTACTCACTATCCTCACTATTGCGAATATGCTATTCCCCGCATCCTCTGTCTAGCTGACTCGTGCCCTGGCTCTGGAGCTCCTCTTCAGTTGGTTCCCCTATGGCGTCTGCCAAGGAAGGGTTCTGTTAGGAAGACATGGCTCCTGCCCTCAGAGTTCAACAGAGGAAGGGGGTGGGGGAAGGACAGAACCAAGAAGCAATGGGATGGGAGGAGTATATAACGGGGGGGGGGGGCAAGGTCTCGATGATGGCTTCAGGGGAAGTCATGGGGGGTGGGGAGGCCTTTGAGGAAGACCCAGAAGGAAGAGGCCGTGAGGATCGGTGAGTCCAGACCCGAAGCTTTCAAAAAAGTGAGCAGAGACCAGGATGGAGGAGAGTGTAAACACGTCCAGAAGGATAGGTGGGGGCTGGATTTCAAAGGGGCCTCCTCACGAAAGGGTCTAAGCATTCCTTCCCAAACGCTGTATCTGAGTGAATCCCCCACATCTCACGTTGAACTATAATCCTGAATGTGATCATATTAAGGGGTAGAGCCTTTGAGAGTGGTTAGGGCTTTTCTTAGAAAAAAGTCACCAGAGTTTGCCTTGACTATTCCACCATGTGTGGATGTAGCTAGAAGTTAGCATCTTTAAACAAGAAAAAGGACCCCAGTCTTCTGGTTCCTTAATTTTGGACACCCAGCCTCCAAAACTGCAAGAAAATTGTTTACAGTGTAAGTATTCAGTCTGTGTCACTTTGATACAGTAATCCAAATGGAGCAAGACATCTGACTTGGGTAGAATGGGGTGAGGGGAACGCCACCATGGACAGCAGCTGAACCCGGACTGATTTCTGGGGAAGCCCAGAACATGGCTGTGTAGGAAGCTCATGGACACCTCTTCTCTGTGACAGTCCTAGGGGCATGATCCTTTACAGTTGAGAAGACAGGGGTTTAAACTGAAGCAAGACTTACAGGTGGACCTAAAACTCTGGCTTGTTTATGATAATCTGCGGATGATGTATACCACCACTGCTTGGCTCCAAAATGATTGGCAGCATTGAGTGATGCTAGGCTGGGGGCATGTCAGGAGGCAAGGCAGGTTTGGTCTCTGTCCCCAAGGAGCTTCTGGCCCATTCTCCAAGCAGAGACTCAAGGCATCCTTTAGAAGATGGGGCGAGGAGCCTGCCACCATGGACAGCGACTGCAGAACCGGACTATAGGTGTGTGGGGATTGTATGGACGCCACTTCTCTGTGATCTGGGCAGCTCTAGAAGCTGGGCCTTTATGGTAGTACTCTATAAACTGTGCTGTGTGGCTGTGCAGTAACTTTAAAAGTGACAGGTGATGCTGAAGATTTGAAATCTAACATCACTTACTTTATAAAAAACAAATAAACATAAATGAGTGCATATGTGAGTGTGGAGCCCAGAAGTGGGCGTCAGTGTCTTCCTCTATTGCTCGCCACTGAATGTTTTGAGACAGGATCACTCTCTCACTAAGGCTGGAGCTCACTGACTGGCTACACTGACTGGCCAGTGAGCCGTGCACTTCAGAGATCTGTCTCCACTCACTGACTCATACACACCATCACACATGTAACTGCTGGTGAACCAAACTCAGGCTCCTTGTGCTTGTGTTCCAGGCACTTTACCAACTGACCTATCTCCTTGGTCCCTAATTTTACTTAATATTAATGAATTTAAGCTGCTTAAATTAATGGCCAGTGAAGCCTCAGAGCCTCAAAACAGGAATGGAAAACCCAAAGATTTCTGCAAAGTCGTGTAGCTGACCACAGCTTGTGTTGAACTTTTTAACTTCAGCCAAGATGGTGTAGGTGCCCAGCGGGGTCAATGGAAGACAATAGTGCAATGGTGCCCCTTCCCTCTGAGGTTCAGCCCAATCTTGCCAGTTTCTGACCATCTGTGAGTCCGTTTGTCCATATGGGGTTGGGAATTTCTCAGCGTCATCAGCCCTTGGGAGTCTTAGAGACAGAACTGTCATTCCCTTCTCTTAGCAACTTCCCTGGACACACAACCCAGCTTCCCTTCCCATATTTGGGAGAAATGATGAGAAGCACCGTGTCTTCATCCTGGGATGTTTCATGGTGGGATGCTCTTCTCCTGAAGAACAGTGGTCCCCAGGAGAGGCCCCTGCCTCCTGCTCAAGTCACTCTGATTCAGCATAGGCGAGGTGTGGGAATCCAAGTCACCCTGATGCAGCATAGGCGAGGTGCGGGAATCCAAGTCACCCTGATACAGCATAAGCGAGGTGCGGGAATCCAAGTCACCCTGATTCAGCATAGGCGAGGTGCGGGAATCCAAGGGCTACAGACTGTCCAGCCTCCAAGTGGGTCTGAAGGAACAGGTGACAGGGTCTGTGCAGAGCCCTGAAAAGCTGAGCCCTTATAGACTGGCCCTTTTATGCCTGACCAGGTCTCTTAACACCCAAGCCATATGTTGTGATGTACGCCAAAATCTGAGCATCCATTTCAGGCTAGGAACTGGGTCAGAACAACCTAGGGGCTCAGCCTGAGAGTACTGAGCTTTAGGGAGCCATGGTCTTGTCAGCTCTGAGACTCAGGCTGATCACTGCGGCTTCGGGGTGAAGGTGAAGAATTAACGGTGGGTATCCCAGTGCCACTGACCTGCCCAGGGAGCTTCCACTCAGCCTGGCAATCTGTCTCTTGCACTCGAGATAGGAACATAGCCAAGCAAACTGCTATTTCTGGAAGGACATAGGAGGGATGCTCGGGAGAACAGGACAGCTCTGGGTGAAGGCCTCTGAGGGCCTTCGCTAGGTTAAATATTTCACTCAAACTCCTGGGAATTAAAATGAGCCCAGACCAGGCCCTGATGGGTCCCATGAGGCTTGCAACCCCCAAAATAGCCTGTGGGAAGAGGGGCGATGACAGGAAGGAACAGGAGCTGAGAACGCCACCTAATCAGACGAGGGTTCAAGGGCAGAGGAAGGGGCCGTGGCTGACACGGCCTGGTTCTCAGAAATGGGTTTTTAAATACTGAGGACTCCTGTTTTTCAGCGTTCGTCCCTCCCCATCCCACAGGCCAGGACATTGGCCCAACTTTGATATCTCACTGGTCCGACTGCCGCCAGACCCAACCTTTCCAATCCACCTGAATAACAGGCCAGTGTTGTCTTTATAAAATGAAAGTGGAACCAAGTTAATCTTTGCTTAAAAAATAACAAAGATCCTGCAGCAGTCCCATTATGATTTTCTTCCTTTTTTTTAAAAAAAAATATTTATTATGTATACAATAGTCTCTGTGTATATGCCTGCAGGCCAGAAGAGGGCACCAGACCCCATTACAGATGGTTGTGAGCCACTATATGGTTGCTGGGAATTGAACTCAGGACCTTTGGAAGAGCAGGCAATGCTCTTAACCTCTGAGCCATCTCTCCAGCCCCTCCCATTATGATTTTCATACTTTTAAAAGGTAGGTTGACCTTTTTCTTTTAGTCAAGTGAATCCTTAGGCAGAGTCCCAATATGTAATATGAGCCAACAATATAATTGCTTTAATTCTTAGAACTCAGATGTGATAGCTACCTACCTACCAACCTAGCTACATGAATGTATTTGTTACAAAACTAACCAATGGATACAACTTGTGGGTAACAATGCATTTGAAAGCAGGAGTTAGGGCGCTGCCACAGACTTAAACTTCAGTATCCAGCCAATTTATTTTTATGTTTCTGCACAGCCCCCAAGAAAGCCCTGATTCGCACCACTAAACACTTGAGAATGGGAAGAGCTACTTTTTTCAGTTATTTAAAGTATTTTTTTTAAGAAGAAAGAAAATAAATTGGATTCACGGGTCTGAAGACTGCCTGAGACATGGGATTCCACAGAATCCAGTAGGAAAGCCTCAACCCACTAAATAAGGTCCATCCGTCATGGCTGTCCCTGGGCTGGGAGCCTTTCTGGGTCCTTGTAAGACTTCTCCCAAGAACCCTGCATTTCCCACACAGCTCTGAACAAGGAAGGCCCTTGGCTCCAGAGACAGCTCCTTGCTTTTCAACCATTCTGTTCCCCTCTGTTCAGGAGGCCACACCCACCGAAGATCAAAGCCTTCCCGGTGGCAATCGCCCCCTCCCCTATGATCCCACAGTACTGTGAGATCTTTTACCTGAACATCCACCGTCTCTGTTGCCTCCGTGGGCAAAATGCAAACTCCTGAGACAGGCAGGGCACAACTTAATCTCAGTAACCAGGGTGAGTGAAGGCCCCCCGGGGTGACGGTGGATAGCGTGGCCTTCTGGGTAAAGTCACTGAAGTGAAGCGGTGGGATGCTTTAAGGTCAGTTACTGGGTCTAAGGTCGCGGCGTGAACAAGGTCAATCTATCATGAACTTGTCCAATAGAGGAAGAGGAATTCTTGCCTCTGCACAAAGTTGCAAAGGGCTGATGCCACCACTGTGATTTCTGTATTATTAATGCCTACCACGAATCAGAAGCATTGTCTAGGACGCAAGGCCTAGCGTTGGGAGCTCAGAGCCTGGGAACGAGGCCTTGAGCCTGGAGCAAGTAGCAGTTTCTTTAAAATGCAGGGAGAGCGATCCCACTGATTCCCCAGGGCATGGGTCTCCAGTTAGAGCTCAAGAGCCAAGACTTGAGCTGGGAAGCCGAGCTGGCCGCACGGACGCTGGAGACCTGAGAACACAGCGAGCAGCGGGGCTTCCACTTCCCACTGAGCCCGGGTGCTGCTGCCCGGGTTGCTGACCAGCTCTGTCAACAAGTGCGGTCCGCGAGCGCTTCAGGGGCTGCCAGCGCCGGGGAGGAGATAGGTCCCTGATGATAGCATGGGGGAGGGGGATTCTGGCGTGGAACCTGAGCCCGGGATGGGGGAAATAAACCACCGCCACCAGAGCAGAGCTCCCAAAATAAACTGGAGCCCGAGCCAACTGCCGGGCACATTCTGGGGCGGAGGAGCTGTGTCCCCTCCGGGAGGGGTTCCACGAGTCCATTTCCAGAGGGCTTGAGACCCCTCCCTGGAAGTTGCCCGTCCAGTGTCGTCGTGCCCCCCGCCCCCCGCCCCAAAGCCAAGCCCCGCTTTTACCGATTTGGGTTTCTTCTTGGGCGAGAGATTGTCATAGAAAGTCTTGGCCTCCTCCCAGCGCGGCGCCACAGCGGTTTCTGCCCCTGGCCCGGGTTCACGGACCTCCCGGGGCTGTCCCGGTTCCATGGTTCGGCTCGGATCCGATCCGGCCAGGCGGGAGCAGGTGGCGGCAGAGACACGGAGCTCGCAGAACTGGATTGCGGGAGGGAGGCGCGTCCCGGGCAGAAGAAGCAGGCGGGCAGGACCGGGAGGGAGTGCGAGTGAGCCCGCCCCGCCCGCCCGTCGCGGGTGGGGGGCAAATAGGTTCAAGGGGCCGCTGGCGTTTAGGGGACCGCTGAGCTCTGGTTCTCTGACTGACCCGTGTCTGAAGCAAGTTGGGGTAGGTGCCACCTGCTTTCTGGAGAGGGCCAGCTGTAGCCGGACTTGTAGGGTGCTGCGGATTCAGGGTTGAAGGGATGAAGTTCAAGGGCACCGAGAAAGGAGGAAGCCTAACAACTTCCTCCTAACACAGTGATTCCCAAAGCAGAAAATAAATAGGTAAGCACCCCTCCAAACTAACAGGCCCCTTGTCCCTTGGATGCCAGCATCCTGGGACCCTGCTCAATCAGCCACTTTTTCTCAAATCCCGGCCCATCCTTGGACACAGAGAAGTGGTGGGCAGACAACTCCGTTTATGAACAGGGTGCCTCATTGCAGGTGGGGGCAAGTGCGGGACTTCCACATACAGGCGAAGGGGCTCTCAAATCCAGGGCTATGTTAAACTCGCCCGGTGGGCGACGCAATCAAGAGAGATTCCAAGGGACTCTGAAACCGGATTCATGTGGGCTCCCCTGTATACCAGCAGAGGGCGTGAATTTTCAGGTCCTGGGTGCTGAACTCGGGGTGGTTAGTGACAGTTGTGAGGTGGCTAGAGGAAGGGAAGAGAGGAATGGGGTCTGGAACCCAAAGAATTATAGCCTAGCATTTTAGAATTTCAGGGTATTGTCCACACTGGTGAAGAGCCCTGGGTTATCGGTTCCAGTGCACAGCCATCTATCAGAGGTGGTTAGGATACCCCGAAAAACACTAGCCTAGCTGGGGGCATCCTTTGCCTGGGATCTGGGAAAGAGTGGACTCTGTCTAGCTTCCGCCGTGCCCTGGGAGGAACCAAGTAAATCTGGTTCCGTAGCTGCTTCCTCCTGATGAAACATTCCTTCCTGGGAGGTTCGGAGGCCCAAGAAACCTACAAGGATCAGGAAGCCCAGGAGATTTTAAAGACTTGGGGTTCCCTCCCAATGATATAAAGGGCAAAGTAAACCGGAAGAGGCGAGCACCTTTGGTGGTGTAGCAGCCTGCAAGCTGAATTGGGAACCCCAACATTATAGCTTTTATGAGTCATCACCCGTGCTGAGCTTTTTGGTGAGGCTGTTTCCCCCAGTTGCCCAGATTCTTTAAAGAACCATCACCCACACACTGGGGTATGTAACCCCAGTGAGCTCACTGGTAGGCTGGACTTGGATTACATCACTTTGGGTGTTGCCTTGTATCTGGAGTGAATAGAGATATCTCACTGGAAAACCAGTAACATAGATTTGGGTGAGAGGAGAGGGAAAATTAAAAAATAAAAATAAATCAGGGGAAGTTGTTTCCAATGTAACCTTTACCAGACCAGAATGGATGGGGATGCGTGTTTTATTTACATAAAAGTAATCCATCCCCAGCAATTCTGATTTAGGTGACTGGCTTGTCAAATTTCTCTTTCTTTAGAATGTGGAGTTAGGTGGTCAGCCGCCAGCATGATTGAGGATGAAGTGTAGCCATCTCCCAAAAGGCCTAGATGAGTCTCTGCAGAGTGTTAGAGTCCTTCTAAAACAGAGCGTATGTGGTCAGAGAAGTCCCTATGGGCGGATATAGGCAAAGATGTCAGAGGACCCGTGAGAGAAACCAGCTGCCTGTGTCTCTCCAATACTCAGGGACCAGCACAGTTCTGAGACTGGGTTGACCATTTGCTGAATTTACTGACTGATACAGGAGTGGCTGTGTTGCCCCCTTCTGGGCAGTCATAGCAATACCCTGAGACTTGTTGGGTTTTGTTGTTGTTGTTTTTTTTAATCTCCTTGGGCTTTGTTGTTTTTGTTTTTTGTTGTTGTTGGTTTTTGTTTGTTTACTTGTTTTTGAGATAACATCTGCTTATGTAGTCCTGACTGTCCTGGAAGTCCCTGTGTACAGAGGCTGGCCTCAAACTCACAGACATCTTCCTGCCTCTGCCTTCTAAGTGCTGGGATTAAAGGCGTGCGACACCATGCTGGGTTATCCCATTGGGGTTTTAATTGGGAAAAATTGAGCAGATGAAAGGATGCAGAGAAGCCAGTCTAGGTCAATGACGTTGGAGAGAGAAGGGGGGGAGGAGTGGGGAGGGAGAGAGCTGCCAGTGGGAATGGGTGGAAGGAGCTTCCGGATCCGGTGGGAATTGAGCGTCTAATTGTGTGAGTCAAGAAGCTGCGTTTGTTTGAGCTTATTTAGCTTGTATTTTCGCTCATGTTTTGTTTCTGTTGTTTGTTTTTAGACAGAGTTTTACATCATAGCTGAAGCTGTCCTAGAACTCACTATGTATCCAAAGCTGGCCTCAAACTCAAGACAATCCTCTGCCTCGGTCTCCCGAGGACTGAGAATGTAGGGTACATACTGGTGTCCTGAGCTGGTTTCCACCTGCAAACAGAAGCCCTGCCTAGCCCGTGCCTCCTTACTCGTGCTGACAGGACTAGGTGTCTGTTCCTTGCCATCAAAGGACGCTGCCATGACGTATTCAGTCCCTGTCAGAGCTTTGCCTAGACCCTGTGTGAAGGATTCTTTTGACCCTCTGGTTTCTGGCTGTCCTCCTGGCTTGCATGGTCCTCCCTGAGAGCTGGCTGCTGTAGGGGTTCCCTGGCTTTACCTTGCTGCATTCCTGCTAACAATTTCTCTTGATGCTTAGCACCTCTTCAGATGATAAACCGTGAACAGACCCTCTAGGTCCTAGGACATCCACATACCTGAGCTGCTTCCAAGGGCATCCTGCCCCAGAAGGCCTGGTACCATTGGCTGGTATTTAGTGAGGCCCATGGCATGCACCACATCTTCACATAACCATTGCTCCTCTTGGCTCTTTACCTCTTACTAGCTCCACCAGGCTTGCCAGCCCCATTCATATTCTGGATTGGGTTTACTCCCTGAGCTCAAGCGCCTGAGGCAGAACAGCAGCTCTGGGAGGCCTTCATCTCCATCTTTTGAGGAAAGCAGATCGTATTTGCCACTTTGGTGTGGCTGTGACCAGCTCCCTGGCGGAAACGAGTCAAAGGACTTAAGAGTTTACTTTGGTTTGTAGCTTTAGAGGGTTCAATCTAGCAAAGGGGGAGCAAGCACCTGTTGCTTCTGGCTCCACGAAGAGGCAGAGTGTCCTGGCAGTGGGACCAGAGGGACAGGGAAGATGACTGGGGACACTGTATCCACAAGGATCCACACCTAGTGGCCTGCATTCTCCAACTAAGTTCCTACTTCATATCCAAACCATTAAAGAGACTTAAATGTGCTTGGCCTGGCTGCCTGGGAACCACGCAGGAAGGTCAGCTGACTGTAATGGGCCCTGTAAACATGAGGGGCTCTTGTTGGAGGACAGCAAGGCTTCCCAAAGATAGGGGGGAGGACCAGTGGCCCAGAAAGGAGCAATGGCTTGTGGGAGTACATAGGCCTAAGAGGCCCCAGGGAAGGGATCCTGGGTGGCTCCCACACAGGGAGCAGGAGGAAAACGTGACCTCAAGGATTATGAGGTCAGAAGGTGCCAGATCATGCAGGGCCTTGAGGAATATTTAAGTAACAGATCGTAATGCAGGGGAAGGGCCCTTGGAAAGATGACTTAATAGGGGGCGCGCTTTAAAAATGCCACCCTGGCTTGGAGGCGAGTGGAAGGCAGGACGGAAAGTAGGAGGTAAATCCACCTGCCCTGTGAGAAACTAAGGAATTTGGCAAGAAGGCAACCTGGGACCTGTGCATCTCCAGGGAGGCAGGGGACTGGACTTCCCGTCTTGCATCAACTTTAGGTTTTCCAGCTTGAGTCAGGCTCCTGAGCCACCTCCTCTGGCTCATGGTTACCTGGAGGCAGGTTAGCCACCTTCCTCTGTCCTAATTGCTTCCTGCCAAGAAAGCTGCCTTCTCCAGGTGTCCTTGAGGCAACCCTTGTAAAAGCAATGGAGCGGCTCAGAAAGAAGCCAGTCCCTCCACCTGCCACTGCCCCCAAACCCCTCTGGCTGTCGAGGGGGTATTCTGAAAAGAGCTTTTCACCGCTTCCTCCCACGCTGGGTCAGTGAGTTCTTCGGGATTGGACTGAGTTCCTGAGGATGATGGGACAGGTTTGTACTACATTGATTCTGCAAGCAGGGAAGGGGAGGGTTGAAATCCATCACGTGTTCTACTTGTTAAACTGAGCACACTGCAATGACATTTGTGCAAAAGGGGAATTAGTCTTTCTCTCTCTTGGGTCTCACTATGTGAACTCACCATGCAAACTAGGCTGGCTTTTTCTTCTTCTTCTTCTCTCTCTCTCTCTCTCTCTCTCTCTCTCTCTCTCTCTCTCTCTCT